ATCTGTTGAGTACTTCAGAAGGAGGTACCATATCTCCTCTGATGGACATTGGGGTTGCTTCCCTGCTGTCCTCTCCACCTCCACCTTGGTCCCTGGTTGCATACAAATGCCTACAATGATAGGAAATTCACAAACTCATGTATTTGACCTCTAGACAACAGTATCTGAAGACTTCCACTCTCCAGAGCCAGAAAGCTCATACAGACTTAGTAATCAACTAACTTGTATTAATTCCTCCCTTTAGGGACACTCCCCCCAGCCTCTGAAGGCTGCCATCCATGTGAGTGTGTGGAGTTACATTAAATGCCTTCTGATCTGCAGCACAGTTTGGGTCATAGCCCCTGCCTGTGGCAATGCACGTTTCAACAGGTTCTTTGGGGATTTCCAAGAGTGTGGGTGCTTCTCCCTGACCTAACTTCTACCTGGGAATATGGCTGCCTCTGACTGAGCAGAAAAACCAGTTTGTAAAACACTTACCCAGGTAACTACTCAAAAGGAGGGCACTCTCCATAACTTTCAGGGCAGGTTTAGACAAAGAGTGTGGCCATGTGCAATAGGACAAATAAAATACATCAGGAACAAAGCTGATAGTCCATAAAAATTGTTCTCTAGCCTATAGAGAGCAGACTGACTGGCTTAATTTTTTTCATATTTCTTCACCATCTTTCTGACTGATGCTTTAGTTAGGGTGTTGTTACTGAATATTGCATAGAAGTTCACAGTAAACTGACATATGAATTGCAATTAATTTAAAAATCAACTGTCCTGTGTTATAAAACCATTCCTCTTGTTTGCTTCATGAGTAAGTCTATAGCCAAGAAGGCCAGCCCTTCTATACAATTTAATTTCCACAGAATTGTACAGGAGACCATTTTCTTAGGACCTTTTACAGATGAGCAGAGACACAGTGAGGTTGTCACTGTCCCAGATTTGCCTGTTAGTGGCAAAGCCAGGACTTCATCCCAAATTCCTCATCTCACAAGGCATAAATTTCACTCCACTCTCCTGCCAGTCTTCATAGGCAACTGATTTATTTGTTTTAAATGCCCTTGAGGGAGGGAGAAACATAAGGAAATAAAAAGGTAAGGAAAAAAGAGTTTAAAAGAAGGCTGGGGAAAGAACAAACTAGGAAATTAAACAGGTCCCTGTTATCAGGAAGGTAAAGAACAGCCAGAAATTGCCCTGGTGGTACAGGGAAGACCAAAGCTGCTCTGGATTGGCCAGTACATTCACCTGATGACTGCCTGTGAGTCCACGTGGGATCCTGGGGATGGCCTGCCCTCAGTGGATACTGTGAAGCTTCTCCCAGATCCCCTGTTCAGGAAGGACACACTTATTTCTCAGCTGCTTGGATACTGGCCCCTGTATACTCAACAGCTGTGCCCATCATGGACCCTACCTTGGGGAGCTGTTTTGCTGAAGGTTACACTTCTCCCTAGTAATGTAGGATATGGAGATACAATGGCCCAGCACCCTGATTCAATCTGGGCCAACTCTGAAGAGCCACCCAGCTTCAGACCCACCCTGTGTTTCAGACCCAGCAGAGGCCTCAGCTGTCTTCACATTGAGAAGAAATTCTCCTTGGTCTCAATCTTGCCCACCTCACTTCCTAATATAACCACTCACCAACAAACCTTGCTCCAAGGTATGTTTCCACAAATTCAATCTAAGATACCACCCAAATTCATACTTTGTGGGTATCACTCAGTGTCAGAATTAGCACTAAAACCCAGGTTTCTTGACCTATTATCTCATTAACTTAAACTGTTCTCAATTTCTATACCTCTTTCTACAAGGTAGACCTTCTAAGGCAGTGGTTCTCAACCTTTCTAATGGCTGCGCTGCTACAAATGGAACAAATGGGTCGTGACCCACAAGTTGAGAACCGCTGTTCTAAGGTGTGGGGTGCTCACCACCAGTGTGTTACACAGATGACTTTGGGAGTAACCGAATGGACTTCTTACTTTAATATAGTCATTTTACCTTGGGATTCCCCAGACACATACCCCGATAAGGATTCATGTGAAAACGAGTTATCAGAAGCCAGGGAAGCTTCGCTGAGGTTATGTCCAGAGCCTTAGACCTGTACCGTGATGTAATGCCCTGTGTTGGGTTCAATACTTGGCTGTTGCCATCAGGAAATCCTTAATAATTTATGAACATCTTTCATCCTTTACGGGGCCCCACAAATCATGTAGCAGGTCCTGATTAGGTTGTTTCTCCGGGAAAAAACTGGTAGGGGAGTAGACAGCAAAACCTGAAGGACAAGCAAGGATGTGGCAGTGAGCAAAGACCCTGGGAAAGAGGCGACCTTGGCCTAACCACACAGAGAGCCCCGCAGAGCCACCCAGGAGGCAGCCCAGCACCGGCAAAGGAGCTGGAGTATTCATACCATCGTGCTGGTTAAAGGCAAAGGGTGTGTGTGTGTGTGGGGGGGTGCTGGAGAGGGGAGGACATTAATTCCCAGGCACTCACAGCTGTCCTGTGCAGGAGCAGAGCAAATTCTGCAGAAGGGGGTGCTCTGACAAGCAGCAGGTGTGGGCAGGCAGGGCTGCGCAGATACCTGGAACCAACATGCCCAGCACTGGGAAAGACTTGATACTGCCAGGCACTGACAGCACTTGCTGAAGTGGGCATGTGCTTTAACACAGACTAGGGCAAGAGACTGGAGCTTGCATATGAAATCCAGGATTTCATAATTGCAAGAGTAGGGATATATTAAAAAAAAAGCGAGTCCATCAAAAACATTAAAAATAGGAGGTACAGTGATGTTAAGATAGAATATAAACACTGAAGTTTGGTAAACACTGGCAGAGTTAGGAACGATGGTGAATCCAGGGCGGTGGGTAAAAGCACAAAGCGTGTGAGGCCAGGTGCCTTGAGTTTCAATCCTGGCTCTGCCACTTCCACATTGTGTGACTTAAACTTCCCATGCCTACCTTCTCGGGTTGAAAGATGGAATATATGTAAAACACTCAAAAAGGTAACATCTGCCATGCGGGAGGTGCTGGCTAAATGTTAGCTATTATAATTCCTGCCTTGCTACCAACTCAGTGCTTCCGGAACTATCTGTGATATTCTGTTTTCAATCTGTTGGAAGCTGATGCTTTGTACAACATGATATATACAAAACAGGTAAGGAAAAAAATGGAATCCAAGGCTACATTTTTAATGATTTAAATTTAACAAGCATAAGACTACTGCCAAACTACTATAAAAGTTTCTATATGCTCATTTTTAATTTCTGTGTTCATCCCACTGCAAATAAGTCACTGTAGTATCACTGGGACAGTCTGCACCAAACTAGAGAGCCTTCAACAAGCCTCTTAAGTTCTTAGCGATTCTGCTCCCAAGTTTTTGCATAAGAAAAACAAGACAAGAATAAAATTAAGTCCATGAGGGCTTCTACTAAACTATAAAGTGCCCGGGAGTGGAAAGTATTAGCAGTGTGGCTATAGAAGGTGATGGCCATAAGATACAAACCCCAGCATGTGACTCCCTCAGGCCCTACAGGAGTCAGGCTGTCCTGTTTAGGGTATATACTTTGAACTGTTAGTATCTGGGAATCAGGCGGGCATTTCCTAATGCTGTACAGATTAGGAACTAAAGGGCTTCCTTGGTAGGCCGTGGCTGGTAACCCAACAACGACCGAGAGCCACAGCTTGCTAAGACCACGCTCTGGGAACCCTCCACTTCCTCTACCTGCCCCGCCCCTGCTGCACTCTACGAAGGAGCCTACCAGGCTTGAGTGGAGGTCAGGAGGAAAACAAGAGGGAAGACACCGCCTTCGCTGCAGTTCCCAGTGCCCGGTCCCTGGGGCCCACTTCTCAGCTGGTGAAACTCGGCACAGAGGCGCAGAAGGGTTTTAGACTCTGTGGGGAAGACGAGACAATTAGGCTTTCTCGCCTAAAGACCACAAGGAGCCAGATTATTTTGAGTAATGATTAGTTGATTAGTCAGGCAGGTGTCCCCGCTTTCTTAAGTAATGGTCATTAGGCTTGATTCAGAGCCACTGTTGTTCCGCCTAGGGGTGGGGGGGAAGCTCCGGTGCTTGCTCACCTGTCCCCAGCAAGCTGCCTGAAGGGCGCCCCACGGATCTGTCCGCATCCCATGTGAACCTTCCCGCCTCAAACTCTGGCACTACAGATTCCATTTCAGGTATGAATTCTGCCCACACTGGTTCTAAGTGACCTACTTTGGCCTCACCTTCTCTTTTATCTCCACCCTGTTGAACAAGAAAGCAGCTACCCAGGGATAGTGGAGAAGTCTCTAGCTGAATGGTAAGATTTCTGTGCTCCCACCTTCTTTATTCTTTCTGGACATGAAGCTTTTTGAGGGCAAAGTCCCAGTCTGACTCTTGTTATAACTCTCCTGTCACCTTCACGGTCCACACAGTAGGTTTTCAACAACGTAGTGTATAGATAGTTCTGAATCCGTCCAGAAAAGCCTAACCAAATCCAAGTACTTCCCACAAGCAGGACCCTGCCAGGTGGGGTGGGGTGAAGGGGGAAGCGCCGGTGGGCGAATGTGCTCCAAACCCAGCCGTCCACAGTTGAACCTGCCCTTTCTGGGAAATTTCGTCTCTCGGTGGCCCCAGGGCCCTTTAAACGTTACTGCGACTGTTTTCCTCAGAAACTGCTGGAGCGGAGCCGAACTTGTGTAGGGTTTGGCAGCCCTGGTCTCAGAGGCCCCGGGGACGGGGCGCAGGGGCCGGCGGCGCTCACACGCGAGGACTCGTGGGGAGGAGGGGCGGTGGCGCCCGGAGCCTTGACCTCTGATCCTCGCCCCCCTGGCAAGAGTTTGGGTAGGGGGCGCCGCCAGACGTTCTCCGCGCTTCGCCTGCCCGGCCCCTCCCGTCTCTGGCCGGGACGCGGGCGGAGCGCGCTCAGCCGGGGCGGGCAGGGAGCCGAGGCCGCTGCGCCGGGGCCGCCGCCCGCCCGTCGGGCCGCCCGCCCCGCCCACTCTGCGAGGCGGAGCCGGAGCCGCAGCTGCGGGAGGAGGAGGAGACGAGGTCGGCGCCGTCTCCAGGAGCCCTTGGAGACCGAGTCCCCGGCGGCGGCAGCGGGGACAGCACACCGGCGGCGGGTGAGCGCCGAGCTGCGGGCGCCGGGGGTGAGCAGGGTCCCCGCGGGGCCAGGGACGCGGCGCCAGGCGGCGGCTAGTGAGGTTGGGGCCGCCTGCGATTCCCAGGCGCTGGGAAGCGAGACGAAGGGAGGGAACGGAGGCAGGAAGGAAGGAGGGAAGAGTGTCCGGGAGGGCGGGACTGGTCCGGGCTTGGGCGCTGGAGAGAGGGTGGAGGGGAGGGCTGGGGACGCCTCGACGGGCGGCGGCCCGAGGGCGCGGGAAGTCGGGCTGGGGAGCTGGGGCTGGGAGGGCTGCCGGTTTCCTAGTCCGCGACCCTGCATCCCAAGTGGGGTGGGCGACCCCGGCGTCCCCAGCGTCCATCCCCTACCGGTGGTGCCTGCAAGCTTCGGAGGAGGACTGGCGGCGGGGGGCGCCCGGCACTCCGCGCCTCCTCTTCCGACAGACTTTCTCCCTTCCTTTCCTGATACTAATGGGCGGGATTGCGACCCTGGGAGCCTGCAGGGGTCCTCAGACTTTTTAAACAGGGGGCCAGTACACTGTTCTCAGACTGTTGGCGGGCTGGACTGCGGGCCCCGGAATGAGTCGGCTGCTAAGCAGGACAGGCAGCGGCGGCAAAAACACCCGGCGGTCTGGATAAATATCCTAGGCGGGCTGCATGTGGCCCGCGGGCCGTAGTTTGAGGACGCCTGCTCTAGGGTCTGGAGAAGAATAGCGGGTCGCAGAGCGGGAGAATTCAGAAGGGAAATCCGCAGGGGACCCCCGGCGGTGACCCGGAGGCTCCCCGACTGTATTTGCAGATGGTACAGGAGAGGTCGAGACGCAGTCTTGCGAGGTTTTTTTCCCCCCTTACATTGTCCAAGCAACTATCCGGTGGTCGGGGCGAGGTCTTTATTACTTTGAAGGCTCATCAATTAAAGCTAACTGGAAGACGCTGTAGCGTCTCCATCCCTTCGCTCTGTGTCCTGTAAACTTGGCTTCGATCACTCAGAACTTGTGTGGGGAAGCCGGGGCTCTTGCTAAACCACCGCGGTGGAGGGAAACTTAGGACACCTGGGGATCTGAGCGAGGGAACTCCCCAGACCTTCACCTTGTGGTCATTCTGTTCTGGCGTGGTCGAACCAACCAGGGGATGGAGAAGGAACAGCCAAACCCCAGGGCTGGGCGGGAGGCCCCGCGCCCGGGCGCGGTTAATGGCTGCCCCGGGTGGGAACGACCTAGGAATTCGCGAGCCCGGTGGCGCTGGACAGACCGCACGTGACTCGCTTCCTTCACATCAGTTCCTTCCTCTCCCCCTGCTGTCTCTGCCGACACGGTTTATGTTTCCTGGGGCGGTTGTAGCTTCGCCTGAATAGACTGTCTATAATGAATCTCTTGGATGTTGTCGGAGGCATGGTCTGTGTCTCTTCTCTATTTTAAAAGCGGACTTGGCTCTGTTTCTGGAGTGCTCGTCACCAGACTGCACCGCTGCCAGCGCCTCTCAGCTCCGAGTGAATTATCGCAGGATCGCGGCCCTCACCTAGGAGAACCGGGAAGGCAGGCAGTCTGGAAGAAGGGACTGAATTTTACTGCTGCCAGAACGATCACATTCAGGTTAGGGAGCTAGGTGGCTTTTTAAAAAAAAATTGCATTTACAAGCCCCCTTTCCACTAAACTAATATGCTACTCATGCACAGAATTTTCAAGTGATCAGACATTTTAGAGACGTAAGTAAAAGCTCCTTTGCCTTCTTTAATAGTTAAACCAGGGCTTTTTGGTGTTAGTTAAGTCCAAAAACCGAACAAACGACATCTTTAGACTTTACAAATAATAAAGTCTTATTTTTGCTGTTTTTACACCCAAGTAATCTAGGTGTCAAAGCCTGGCAGGGCATACAAGCATTTATATTGTGTAGAAACACGTATATCAACATGCGAGTCTGTTTCATAACAGAACGTTTTGGTAACTTTTTAGCCTTATGTGGAACGCTCCAATCTTTGAAAAACTACTTCTCTAACAATTGAATTTGGGGGGTTGTGTTCTGGTTTCTTAGAACTTGACAACCTCCCCCACTGCGTTCTCTGAGAGCAAAAGGGCTTTGTGATCAAAAAACTTGGAGATTTTAGCTAGTAAAAAATCAGTCTTTTTATGTAAAAAATGAAAAACCCCCTCTAGTAGGGAAAAACAAGTTAGAATGTTACTTATTGTTGGTATTTCATGAAGTGGGGTGTTTTTTGGAGGGGTGTTTTATGTCAGCTTAACTTTCACAACTTATCTAGGTTAAACTTAGGTATATTTTTATGAACCCTAATTTGGAAGAGTGGTTTGGAGTCTGCTTTGTCAAGCAGACTTGGATGAGAATATTTAGCGTTTCTTAGGTTTGTGAAATGGGGAGAACAGTGGTCTGTAGAGTTCTTATGAAACAATCCTTGGAAGACACCTAGACTGAACCTAACACGGTAAATACTAAAAACGTTCATATTTTACTTACCTAGCTCAAGCAGCAGGCTAGTGGATAAATTACAAGGTGGTAGCTTAGAACCTTCTGGAAATGCTAGATCAATTTTAAATTCTGAAGAAGGTATCTGATTTGTGTGTGAATTGTGTATGCATTCTGTTTCTACCACAACAGTATAATTACGATTAAAGGATTAATAGTTTTAATATGCTTTCAGTGCTAAAGGAACAGTTGCATAGTAATTTTGACAGCCAGCCAGAAACATTTCATTATCTTTAAAAGAGAACGTATTTCAAATAGTTGTGTGTCAGCCCTGGGTAGGGAATAAAAGTGTTTGTCTCTAAGTGCAACTTTTAATTAAAAGGATGAAAAAATGTGACCCAAGGGTAGCTGGTTATTTTTTCATGTACTGATGTCCAAGGCCAACGGATACGCTGTAAAGTGTTAGGAGTGACTGTGTCAGTCTTATTTTTAAACTTTTGTAAGAATGAGTGTTCAGTTAATTCAGGGAATCATCGCATCATTGAATCACTTGCTAAAATTTGCAAAATCTTAAATGCTTCTGTCTTTAAAACAAACCCTTTTAAGCTTTTTTCTTTAATGCGTATCAGGTGCACGGAATTGGGTAGATGTAGAATTGGCTCATGGCACAGGTGATTCACTTTACTGATGAGACAGATGGCTAGGTGGTGGGTTCCTGATTCATGGTTCCAGGTGTATAGACTGTGGGCAAGCTACTTAACCTGTATTGCTTCAGTTAAGAATTGTAAGGAGTGAAGGAGTTGATCTGTGTAGAACACTTAGAACAGTGCCTAGAGTCTCTGTTCAATAAATATGTATTTTTGAGACAGAGTTTCAAACTGTTGCCCTCGGTAGAGTACTGTGGCATCACGGCTCACAGCAACCTCAGACTCTCTTGGGCTTAGGTGATTTCTCTTGCCTCGGCCTCCCAAGTAGCTGGGACTCCAGGAGCCCACCACAATGCTTGGCTTTTTTTTTTTTTTTTTTTTTTTTTTTGTCATTGTTGCGGTTATTGTTTTAGCTGGCCTGGGCCGGATTTGAACCCCCAGCCTCAGTGTGGCTGGCGCTGCCACTGTGTTCAATACATATTAACACTAAGATTGAGATTGTTTTCTTTGTTTTGAACATTAACTTTCATAACAGGAAAACAGCTCTACAAAGTTTTAACACTTCTATCAAATCTAAAAGTGCTCGATAATTGTAAGACTGTTTGGCAGGACTTTTAAAAGATAAGAAGATTAGGCAGTCATCACTGTGTCGTTTATATGTGAACCAGGTTGCAGTATTTGTTTGAATTCTCCTGGATCTCACCCATTTTCCTTATTAGAAACTAAAAATCAGCAATGCATGAAGTCTGCTACAGTTTGAAAGGGGACAGATGGCATGTACAGTTAGTATGTTACAATTCAGCTAGCTTAAAATTGTTCATAGACCATGGATTTTAAAAAACTAGAAGAAAATATGCACAAATGTGGGGTGGAATTACTGTGCCCCCATCTTCTCACCAATGACCATATAGAATGGCGTTAATAGTTATTTGACTACAAAAACAGGATTTTGTTTCAGAAAAAAACTTTTGTGGCACTAATTGAACAGCCTTTAAATACCAAAACCTTTTTTCATTGGGAACTGTTACGAGAGACTCCGTAACAACCTTTGACTGCTTCAGCTTACTTCACCTTGGTAGGGAAGCTGGGGCTCTTGCTAAACCACCATGGTTAGCGGCATCTATACAGACCTGGTCCGTGGTTCTTGTGTAACACGTGCAGGGTACCAGGCACCTGGAGGGTGGTGACAGGGAAGACATTGAACCGCCCTGGTTAGACTGAGTACCAATCCATAAATTACAGCACAACTGTGTGATTGCGTTTTGATCTGTATCCTGGGCCCCTTCTTAGCCCTTCCCATGTGTATGATCTTAACAGTCCTCATAGCACCCCAGACAAGGAAGCTGAGGTTCCCTAAAGGCCTGAACCTCCATCAGGGGTCAAGAGCAGAATTTGATACAGAGTCATTCTGATGCCAGGTCTCATGCAAAAAGTGCTCTGCTGAGAATCCATGTGTCCATCTGGAGGTGAGTGAAGGGGGTTTCCTGGAGGCAGTTTGGTGTAAAGGCTATAAATAAGAGAAACTCTTAAGTGAGACTATCTCTGAGGAGACTCCTCCCTGGCTGTGAGCTCACCACTTTTTAGCCTTAGCAAAGCTTCCTAAATGGCCGTGAGACCTAGCAGGCCTGAAATGAACACAGGCCGGGGCCCTCAGTAACCTGTGGGGTGGTCCCCCTCTCATCTCTGGTCTCTCAAAGCAGGGCTTGAAGGAACTGACCTGCCAAAGCCTGTCCTAGAACAGTTCACACCAATATGTCCTGACCCTGCTCTTCCTCCCAGGAGTAACAGTGAACTGGCAGCTTGGATTCAGGGCAGAGTGGAGGCGATTTGACAGAAGGCGACCTCCACCACTTCTATCTGCATGTATCCCAGAGTCTGTCTTAAAATTGTTCCATGTATCCTGGAGTCTGTCTTAAAATCTAGTATCAGGGCAGTGCCTGTGGTGCAAAGGAGTAGGGTGCCAA